AAACCGACGTGAATAGACAGAAAACCAACGAAAATTGAGTTAAAACCGACAGTACTTCTGATTGACATTAACGACGAACGACACCGATTCACGACGAGAGATTTTAGGGGTTTTGTTCATCGTTCGACAACGAATACGATGGTGGTTTCGGTTCGTCGAACGGTGGCCGGACGCTGAGTAGATCGCAGTTTAAAATCGTTGACCGGGGAGAGGAAAAATAAAACATTTCTGTATAAACATACAGGGAGAGAGGTTTATAATTCTCTCCAAAAGAAAAATGGGCAAATAATGAGTTTAGCCATTGAATTTCCTATACTTTATAAAATGATCTGCCAATTTTACGATTTTACAATTTAATCCTCATTCTTTTCCCAAAATACCAATTAAATCCACTACTTTATAATTCTAAAATTTAGCCCCTAAATTGGGTGTTACACTGCATGTGTGAAAAATCAATTATTTGCCTAGTTTAGTAATCAGAGTAGGCATTTAGTTGTCATTTACCTTCGTGTCAAACTAAATATGTTCAATGTATTAATTAAAAGCTTAATATATAAAAAACATGCTTAAATTAAATGAGTGAAAAACACAGTGTTATAAAATTAAATTATTGTTAAAGGGATTAGATGAGTTTAGTGTTATATTTATTCGTTAAAGGCTTAATATAAAAATCAAATTATATATATTTTTTATGTAGATGTCTAAAACGTTTTGGTCAATTTAGGAGTATAACATTTTCAATATTATCATTTAGGTGTCTCAGCCGTAACAAACATTAAAAATTTTTTGTAAACACTAAGAATGAGACACACAACATCTTTCTAAATTTTTTAAAAATTTATTTTAAAAAATATTAAAATTATTATTATTTAAAAACCCGTAAAATATTTTTAAAATCTAAAAAAGTCTCAAAACTTTGAATACCAAAGCATCCACCTCACTTGTTGGTCGTCCTCCGTCGTTGTCGCCCTCACCAGTCGGCTACCCACCCATCGTTGGTCGTCAATCGTAGCTTCAAACCCCAAAAATACCTAAATATAAACCCTGCATTCCTAAATCCCAACATATATTCATCCCAATCGATGTGTATGGTCGAAGGGTGGTGAACAAGTGTGTGGCTAGCGGTTGAGTGGGTGGTGGTCGACGGGTGAATTGAAGGTCATGAGGTTTTTTATGAAAAATTAGGATTTTTTAAAAATTTATGAATTTTACTTTTTTAAAAATTAAAGGAATTAAAAAAATGAAGCCACATATCAAATACATATTGGTTGACTTATATTTAATGAATTTTTTTAACAATCATTATAGGCACCTAATTAATAACATTGGAAACGTTAGGCATCTAGATTAAGTAAAAAAAAATAGGCACTTAAATGGGAAAAGAGATATAGTTTAGACACTTATTTTTATATTAAGACTTAATTAAATATGTTTCTTATTCTCATGTTTTATTAATAAGGGGTTATTGGTGGAGAAAATGAGCTATTGTATAAAAAGGAGGTGTTTATAATTTTATTTTTCTCAATTATTGGTTGAGATGAATATTCAATCGAGTTAAGTATATTCGAATAAAAAATATTCGAGTTAGTCGAGGAGTTGAGTCCTATTTTCTTATTCAAATTTTATTTTAAAAAATTCAAGTCGAGTTGTCTATGTTTCTATACAAATTATTGTAATTTTTCAGACAATTGTTTTTCCAAAGCTTAAAATGAATAAATGATCATTTAAAAAAAATTAATTTTACATCAAACTCATACTCTCCAATTCATTTGAGCAGCTACAACAAGAAAAAGTCGCATGATATCCAAACAAGCAATGGGTGTGAAGGTGTCTGAGTAGTCCACATCAAAAAATTGTGCATAAACTTTCACCACAAGTATTGCTTTGTGCTTTTCGATTGAGCTATCATTATTAAGCTTGGTTCTCTAGACCCATTTGAATTTAATCATCTTCTTATCTTAGGGTCAATCAGTAATCTATTACACCTTACACGATCATCATCTACTGGCTCATTCTACCAATTTTCATTTTCAATTGTGGTTGAATCAGAAAAACTTAAGTTGCAGGTCTGATGTGGTTTGACCACTTTTCTTTGTCTAATCTCAGTTCCACTCTTCATCTTCCACGAAATGAATATCTTATGAAAGTTTCCTTAATTTGCAGTTGAAATATATTATAAGCTTTTGCTATAATGTTATAGCTGATGAAAATATATGTAAGTACTCCTTTGCCTAACTTGTCTCTATTCATCTTCATATTATTTTTTGAAATGATTTTCTACTTTGCTCTCCAAAAATTACAAGCCTTATATATTAATATATGACCATCAACCTCTAGAAGATCAATTGTCATCATTTTAGACTTGATCTATAATATCCCTTGATAGTGATAGTGTTCGAGCCTCTTATGTCACACCACCAAGAGGCTTTCTTTACTTATACAAGTTAATTGCTCCTCCTACATTGGATTGATTGAAAAACTCATCTCTGCCATCTTGACATCGAACATCTTCCAACCTTTAGCATTCTCTATCACAAATGTCTTCTCCATGAACTTCACTTTGAACCTTTTTTCCACTAATTGATCTGCATTAAACAGATTTTAAACAATATTTGATATATAAAGAGTATCAATGATAAACTTAACTCTTGAACAGCTTGTAATAGCTATAGTGACTTTTCCTTTGACTACAACTTAATCATTCCCAATTTTAACTTTCTTGGACTTGTTACTCTTTAATTCTTCGAACAACCCCTTGTCATGTATCATATGATTAATGCATCTATTGTCAATGAGTAAGTTTTCACTTGTTTCATGACTCGTGAAACAAGTTGCAACTTCTTCTTGATCTACCACTTGTGTTTCATTTCCTTGCTATTGGTTTTTATTCTTGCAAATAACAGTTTCATTTGCCATTTGATTACACTTGTTGGACTTTGCATCTAACATTCTCGAATACTTGAAAAAGAAAGACCTTTCTTACCATAATATCGACATGAAAGATAATCTTTCTTTACTCAAAATTGCATATTTACATATTTGTTTTTGTTCCTTAGTGCAAAGCTTTTCCCACTTGCAGCTCGAAACTTTTTGTTCTTGGACTTCATGTTCTTTCCTTCATCTTGATGCTTGACTGGTAGATCTCCTTTAACAACTCTTTCTTTACTCATTACAAGCCTATTCACTTGTCCCTACAATGCACTTAAGAGCTTTTCCAAAGTAAAGTTTGACATATCTTTTATGTCTTTTAAGGTGGTAATGGTGGCCTCAAATCTCTAAGTACTATCAAAAAGATTTTCTCCACGGTCCTTAAATCTTATAAAGAAGAAGTTAATAGTCTGACCTTATTGAATAAACTAAGGAGTCTTTCGAAATACTTCTTAATTATTTTAATATCTTTCATTTTCTGTAGCTCAAAATGTCATATAAGGTTCAACACTACCATCCCATGAATCCTCTCATCCTTTCGTACTTGGTTCTGAGGTAATCTCATATCTTCTTTGTTAACTTTAAATACATAATTTAAGTGAAAATGGTTGTTGAAACTACATCAACTGATTTCTGTGTTCTTGTTTTTTTGTGCTTTAATATGTATCATGGTGGGGTTGGTAGGTAATGCAAGAATCTCATAATCATCTTCCACTGCTTCCCTAAGATCTACAACTTCTAAGTATGTTTCTATGCAAATTGCCCAAATCTGATAATTTTCTCCATAAATATTAGGCGGCACAATTGAAGATAAATTGAAAGTACATATGAATTCTACAATGGTTTAAGAGCATGTGGTTCAAATTTGCTAAATATTGACTTAAAATGAATGAGAATTTGAAGGAATAATTAAATCAGGGACTAAATTGTAAAAATGTCAAAATACTTAGTTAAATTTTTAATTTTTCGAGCAACTTGAAATTTCAAAAATTCAACTCGACTCGAACTTAAAAATCGAATTGATAATTCGAGTTGACTAGAATAACTGAACTCGAATAACTCAAAATAAAAAAAAATCATTTTTTCGAGTCAAATTTTGCTCACTCCTACTTTAGATCCTCCATTAACCTTTGATGACAAAGGAAAAAAATGACTGGTACCACAAAATGATCCTATAACAAGATTTAAAAGTTGTCGAAGGAAGAAGACTTCAAACTAACTTATCAAAAGTCCATTTCAAGCAATTAAAAATCAACAAGAAGGTAATCCATAGACTAAATTGACAAGAAAATGGAGAATTGAGAGTCGAACGATACTTTAAGAGTCGAGATTATGGGTGTTCATCATCGGTTAATTATACGGTGTAGTCTAAATGATAAATTAATTATTACAACGGTAATTAAATTTTATCAACAATAATCTAACTATTAAAAAATGATTAATGTTAACGATTAATTGTTATTAATAGTTTGATTATAGATTCCTATTGTTTATCCGTTACAATTTTTTTCAAAGACAACACAATATTAAAGTTTTAAAAGTTCCATAAAATTTTTGATACTAGAAAGATATATATTTCTAGATGCATTTTATTTTTATAAAACATATATATTATGGTATATATTATTTTTTAATTTAAAGTCTTACATGCATATAATTTATAATTTATTTCTAATTATATTCTCTCTAAAAATATTATTTATCATTTATAATTTATTAATTGTTTATTAAAATTCGTAATCATAATTATTAACTGATACTTTTAGTGATTTGATGAAATAAAATTATTTAATTTAATAATTCAATTAATTAATCTGTAAAATATAACAATTGCACTAATTAATTATTATAATTTAATTTGAACACTCCGATTGAGACCATAAAAGAAGGTGACGTCGATTTTGTAAGAAGAATGAGAAAAAAAAGTGAAATTATATGGGTGAATTTGTTCTTGTAAATTGCATTAACACGTGGCAGCTTCTGCTCCTCTCCTTTATATCATAGAATTTTCTTGCTTTTAATTGAAGATCTTTTATATATGATTATCCGAACTAGACAAAAATAAAAATGTCTTTGTCTCCCAGGCCACAACTCAACTCGGTTGGACTCAGTTTTGGGTGCACTAGCTAAAGCTCAGCAGAAGCCTCATCTGACTTTTTCACTAAAAAAATCCCCAAATTTTCCTTTATCATAAATCACAACGAAGCCGAAGATTTCCCATGGCTTTCCCAAGCGCAATCTTCATCTTCGTCACTCTAATCTCCCTCCCAACTTCTTTATTCGCCATAGCCGACGACGAAAAGCTATCAGCGTACCAAGCTCTTCAACAGTACGACTTCCCAGTAGGCATCCTTCCCACCGGCATGATCGGGTACGATTTGAACAGAGAGACAGGCGAGTTTTCAGCTTATTTGAGCGGAACCTGCAACTTCGACATTGATTCGTACGAACTCAGTTACAAATCCACCATACAAGGAGTGATCTCCCCGGGAAGGATCAGAAACTTGAAGGGTGTGAGCGTTAAGGTTCTCTTCTTCTGGGTTAACATCATCGAAGTGATACATGATGGTGACGAGATGAAATTCTCCGTTGGGCTGGCTTCGGCGAGCTTCCCTGTTGACAACTTTTATGAGTCTCCACAGTGTGGTTGCGGATTCGACTGCAATCACTTGGATGCTTTGGTTTCTTCTTCTTAGGTAAGTGCTGATATAGTCACTAGATTATTCATGATTAGTACTCATTTTAGGTGCTGTTAATGCATGCTTTGGGGTTTCCAAAATTCTTGGGAAATCTGTATGGGTATTAACTTGGTTAGTTTGATATGTATCTTATTAACACTATCATTTAGAGTAAACTACACAAATGGTCCTTGATTATATGACGATGCTTAATTGAATCCTTCTTACAAGTTATAGAATGGTTTCATGATTATAGGATAATATTTTATTAGGTCTTTATTAAAAGTTATAAAATGGTCATTCGATTATTTATATTTTAAAATCATTTTTTTCGTTAAAAATTTAAGGATCATCTAAATGAAAGTTAATCTGCTAATTGAGGTCTAATAAAATAATATTTTAATGATGTCTATTGGAACATCATAAACTACTCAAGCTCAGCATGACTCAAGTTCTTAACAAGTTGAAACGAGTTATTTGATACTCAACTCAAAAAAACTCACGAGCAATTCGAAAAAATAATATATTAAAATTTTATTTATTTTTTAAATAAATTATTATTAATATTTATGTATTGTTTTTATAAAAACTCTAAAAACATTTTTTTTTAAATTTAAGAAAAATTGTATAAAAAATAAAAATTGGTCAGCATTTACCAAAATTTCATTTTAAAAGTTTTTAGGAATAGATTACGCGTGAGAAATGATAAACACCCTAACAACGTCCAAAATTAGTACTTAATCGCTTATACATTGTTGTAATAGTAAAAATTATAAATTTATGTCGAAAATTAAAGTGCGATCCTTTTTATTGAACATTGACCCATTTATTTCAAATTATTTATTAAGGGGCATTCACTATATTGAGAATGAATCACAAGATTTGTACATCCATCAATAAGAAGTCTGTCCCATCTATTTTTTCTATATACAAGAATGTCTCTTTTAAAAAAATAAAAAGAGAAAAAAACAGAAATTAAGAGACTGAAAAAAAAAGAAACAAAAAAAAAATGCATTTCTTCATCAGAGAAGGCCATTTGCTTCACCGGAGCCATCAAAGGTAATCTCCCTTCCTTTCGGTTTGGAGATTTATTGGGGTGGGGGAGGGCTTCAAAAATAATTTTGAATTTATGGTTTTAGAAATGAGCCTTTTAGGGATGTTTAGGAATAGGGTTAGGCTAGTTTGAGTCTCAGGCAGTTTTTGGGTTGGTTATCGCCATGACTATCGATCTACGGTAGTTGGAGGGGGAGCGATCTATCTTCCTTGGAGTGAAGACGAGAGTAAAGAGAGTTTTTCTTTCTCTTTTGAAAAAAATAGAAATGAAAAGATTGATACAACAAATGAGAGTTTTGGGTATTTTTGGTCGTGGGGTTTTGACTTATATATTAGGTGCTAAACGGTGCCGTTAGGGGAAGAAGACCATGTGTTTAGCTCTTGGCTTATTTTCCCAATGAGAGTATCTTGTTTTGTAAGCTTTTTGATTTAGTCACTGAATGAAATTCTATATTGATGCATTTTGAGCTTTTAGTTTCCTCGCGTTTATAGTTTAGTCCATGTCTTGTTTAGCATAACTTTTCTGTTGATATTTGACTTCGACTATAGCATTTACGAAATTTACATGTTAGTCACTAGTTACTATGTACAATAAATGCATGTTCTATTTATGCTTTAAGCCCTTGACGTTGGTTCTAAATTTATTTTAGTCATAGTTCCAAATTAGTTACCACATAAAATAATAGGATTAATGCTTCTATAACGCCTTGTATTTTTCCATTGGTCTCGATTTAATTCTAATTTTGGCTTTTGGGTCACCTTTTTAGTTTTTGGTTATGTTTTCTTTAAATGTTAGTTTATATATTATTTTAATTTATTTGAACTAGTTTGTATTTTTTTATCAATGTACAACCCATATTTCTTTAAAAATCATTTTTTTAAACCGTAAAATACCACAAATATCCTATAATAATAATTTATTAAATTTCTTACTCGTATTAGTTTTCAAGGACATTCGCTGTAGAATGGGTGTGAAAAGTACAACTTGATAGAAGTAATGTGATTCAAGACGACATTCGAACGAAAAGTGAACTTGAAATAAATCGAATTTATTTTGATTAAAAAAGTAATAATTAAATATTTTTATTTTAGTTTAAATAATGGCAATGTATATTCTTTTTCTTTTAAATAGCATGTTTTGGTGTTTTATTCGATTATTCTTATATTCAATTCATATTCGATTTGTGATTTTTTATTTATTTATTCTTTAAAGGGGACATTCTTGTATATAGAAGAAGTAGATGTGATAGACTTCTTATTGGTGGATGTGCAAATCTTGCGATTCATTCTCAAATTACGAAATGTCCCTTAACAAATAATTCGAAATAAATTAGTGAATGTTCAATAAAAAAGTATCGTACTTTAATTTTCGACATGAACTTATAATTTTCACTATTACGACAATGTATAATCGGGTAGCTACTAATTTTGGGCATTATGGGGGTGCTTATCCTTCCCCACGCGTAATTGACTCTTGAACCCCTTTAAAATGAATATCTGGTAAACGTAGACCAATTTTTGACTTTTAAACGATTTTTCTTAAAACTGTTTTAAAAGAAATTTTTAGGTATTCGATCTACCTAATCCAAAAGTCGATGGCGACTCCAATTCAAAATAGTTTAAAATTTTCAAATTTTCTAAAATAAAGTCATACTTGTTTTTAAAAATAATTTTTCAAAAATTGTTATGATAGCTTGGCGATTCCGTTGGGGACCTTTAGAGAGTCAAGTCGTTAACTGCTTATGCATCGTCGTGGTAGTGAAAATTATAAGTTTGAGTCCATAATTAACTTATGATCCTTTTTATTCAATCTGGATTAAATTATTTTGAATTATCTATCAATAATTTTACTAATATTTTACTTCTTTGTTTTAAGTTTCCATAAATCTTTTTCAAGGGTATTTGTCGCTTTGCCTGACCAAAGGTAGTACATTCCTTCTCAATACATTACATGACATAAGCTCTATTCTCAATCTTAAATAAGTAGGGGTGAACATTACACTTTCGTGGTGAATTTATTCTCGTATGAGCTATAGCAAGTAACTTTTGGATACACGTCTTGTACCTTTGTGAGTATTTATTCTTCGTATGGGTATAAGGAAGTGGATCCCCTCGAACTGAACTCGTTCTGCTTATGCTTGTAATGGGTGAGGATCGAGGGTTTGAAGCCCAAGGGGGCACCAACATCAAAGACAATAAAAGGACCCATTCTCATAGAGCCAAAACCATACATATAGTGAATCATATCATATTTACCCTAGCTAGAGCTATGTCGAACCTCTGCCTGTTTATAAGTACCATAAATAGGTGTATATCAAGAAGGAGCATATTTAACCTTTTTTTTGTTTTACTTTAAATCTATATCATGAGTTTATTTTTTAAAATAAAAAAATGTGAATTAAATACCACGTGGTTAGGTTTTACTTGCATAAATAAATATTGTAAGGGTAGAAAGCATGTTCGGTTAGGACTTATAATTTTGATTGGGTAGATTATATATGAGTAAAATTAGTTTATTTATTCTTCATGCCCTTTTTATTCTTCCACGTACCGACTTATCTGCTTGTTTTGGTTTTGTTTGTTTCATGTCACATGTTCATAACATTAAAAAGGGGTTGTTGATCTACAAGTGTCTATCATGTTAGAAGACTTTCACAATGGAAAAAAACTTTCATAAACACGGAGGTAAACCCCACAGTTGTACGTGACTGGTCTAAGGCAAAACAAAAAGCACAAGGAGACAGTCTACTCGAGCAGTATGTGTCATAATTAACCGATTATGCACGTACCACTATCAAGCTGAATGATCTTCAAGGTTTGAAAAAGATTTGTGAAGGTTGGAGCAATGATGAGAGACAAGCATTTCAACAAGACTCTGAGGATATAGCATACTTGTTATGCGTCGAGGTAGATCCGATCTTGACCAGGAGTATGATACAGTCTTGGAACTCTGGATATATTTGTTTCATTTTCAACCGTGAGAATATAAACTCGACTGTGGAAGAGTACAACTATTTTGTTAAACCTACAACTCGTTAAAGTAGAGAAAATTTATACCAGGTCAAAAAAGGGCCATCTCTTAAAGTAAAGCTGGCAAAGATTTCTGGTACGAGTGAAAAATGGGTAATTAACCGCCTGTAGAAAAATGGGGAAAGTGAGAGTGTCTCATGGTCACATATACAAAAGATAGCCGAAGAGAACATGGACGAGAGCATAATGAGAGATGTTTTTGCTCTAGGGATTTATGGTCTGGTGATTTTCCCTAAGTGCATTGGTCTTATTGAGTTATATGTGGTCAATTTAGTCGAAAAGTTAAAGAAAACATTGTTGTGCTTGTGATCCTGGTTGAGACATACATGTCTTTGAGTTCTTGTAGAATGATTGGAGGTGGTTGCTTTATGGGGTGTGCTCAGTTGTTTACTGTCTGGATCTGAAGTCACTTTTGGAAAGAGGAAAAGGTTAATTATAATCATTTCTCAATGGAATATTCATCCATGGAAGATTACCTTATAAGTGAATGGTCTGTGACAACGCACAAAAATCAATGGATCAATTTCTTCAAAAATAATCAAGATGAAGATATCGCATGGCGAGCCCCGTGGATGTTGCAAACCCAAATTCTGTTCAGATGCGGTGATTATGACTGGATTGTACTACTTGGGTTATGGGGAGGAGTGATGTATGCTCTACTACTAGTCTTGAGGCAGTTTGGTTCTCGACAATTTGTCCCAGTGACCTTTGAACTTGCCAATGTTGAGTTCGACTATAAAGCTTTCAATTATAAGAAAAGGGTCCAAGAAGTAGAAGATTTATGGACAAGTATGTTTGGAACAATAGTGGTGGGAGTTGAGATTATGATAACCCCGAATTATGAGGCCTAGGGACACAAAAGGTTGAATGATAAAATCTCTTTGACTACGGGGAAGAGAGCAGCCTTGATGGAGGAACACTTCAGAGTAATCCCGTCAAATTTAGAAAATCAAATAAAAGATTTTGAGGCAAAAAAAGCCAAAGATGCCAAAAACAACAACAACCAAAACCCTATTTCCATATGCAATGCGGTAAGGGGGAGGTAGGATAGTAGACTGTCCCCAACGTCAGGTTGAGAGCAGCTTCCGTGGAAGATCTCCAGCAGTTAGAAAATT